AGCTTGCTTGGTCTCGCAATGAATCCTGGGATATCCAAGAATACCGAGGATACATCGGACCCGTCCTTCAAATCGGGTAAAAAGAAGGACGCATTTTAAGGCCGCATAACGAGGAGTCTTGGAATCCGACCAGACCTCCGCGCCGCGCTATGACGTCATCGGCCTTCGAATCCGGAATTCTAAGGACACGTCCTAGGTTTTCGAACAGAGCCATTGTTTTATTAGGGGGGACACTGCTAAAGGCATGTCTCACCCTTTATTATTGCAAACATTTATTCAGCCTATAATAACAATAATAATAATAATTAATTATTATTATTATTATTATTATCATCATTATCAGGTATCATTATTATATTATATTATAAGCTGTCAGTGTTTTTTTCTTTGGTGAATGCAATACGCTTCTGTAATTTCATATCATTTCAGCAGTTTCTGCCATGTTCAGCTTACAGTTTAGCGTAATGCATTCTCATGGCTGTTTCGCAGTAACAGCATTTTTCTAGTTATAAAGTGAGAATGTATTAATGCATTCTCACTTATTGTTTTCCTGTTTCTCTTCATTATTGTGTGAATGCTGTGAGCCAGATGTCTTCAACAGGGGGTCCGCGACCCCTAGGGGGTCCATGGAGGTACTGCATGGGTTTCACATAAGTTTTGGTTAATTAGACTCTTTTTTTTTTATTCCCTCCTGCAGTTTTTCCCACTAATTGAAATGTCTTTAAATCCACATTAACATGAATTGAACAGACTGTAGTAAACAGATAAATGGAGGCAGAAGATGTCTTTCAGTCATCAATGCTCACATTCAGCGACACACAGGAGCTCTTTCAAGCTGGACACCGTTTCATTCACAACACCTGGCCCATCAACCAGTTCTCAATCGCCATAACAACAGAGGATAGACTCTGCTTCAATCTTCTCCTTCTCCATAAATCCATCCATGGTTACTTTTCTCCAGAGTTCAGGTGGTGAATCAGCAGCTCTGTCTCCTGTACTGGTTGGCATCAGAGCCACCAACTCTTCTCCAGAGTAAACAAAGGCATTAAGTAGAAGTGGCATTAAAGAGGAATTACGTTTTTTTCCACTGGTCCCTTGATTTTCCGTTATTCCATCCTGTTCTACTCTCCCATCTGAGTTTAGTGTCATTTGGAGGCGTTCTGAAGATATTCCGTTAGGTTATATCCAGTAACGTCTTCCTATGGGCAACGACTTGAAGGCACAAACTAAACTATTCATCATTTATTCTTTATGGTACGCCAGCATTCAGAACATGGAGGCCAATCACTGTCACCCAGACATCCACCGTTAGATTTTTATATCTTTTAAAAACAAAGCGGCGTGTGTATGACGTCATCAGTGCGCGCCGGTTACCGTTCCTTCATCATGTCCGCTGAACTGCTGCTAGTTTTCCTCTCATGCCTGGAGGATGTCTAGAGCTGCTACCTCAGATGATCTTGCTCTCTAGATGAACGATTCAGATGAGCTAGAATGAATAGAAGGGGTAGAGCGGAGCCGCCTGTGGCCCGGGCTGCCTGTCACAACTCCAGTCCAGCGCGGATGACGTCATACACACTCCGCTTTGTTTTTAATATCCTTTGGAAAGGCAGATGTAGTGCTGGGTTGGTAAGTGCGACCACTTGCAGTGCTGGGCCCGTTATTTTGAAAAAGTAGTTAGTTATAGTAACTAATTACTTTTCCCGAAAAGTAACTGAGTTACTAACTTAGTTACTCCACAATGAAAGTAACTAGTTACTAGTAAAAGTAACTATTGTGTTACTTCTGTCATGTTTGGTTTCAGGTTCCTAACCCACGTCCAGAACTCTCATCAGACAGGGAAAAAGTTCAAAGGTTTATTGTTAGAACACTGTACAGAGAATGAACAGATCCAGGGTTATCAGATCCAGGACTGGTCAGGAATGGGTTCACTGTTCTGGAGTTTGAGCAGAGCTGCAGAGGGGGGGAACCAGGAGGGTCCAGAGGCAGGCGGCAGGCAAAGGGCTTGGTGGAGGCAAAGCTTGGTTTGCAGATCACTGGTTTGAGTTTCCCTTCCAGATTCTTCAGAGAGCGGGCAGGCAGGTCTTTGACTGGTTTGATTCTCCAGAGTTCTTCAAAGATCAGACAGACAGATTTCCAACTTCAGGGTTTCAGGTTTCAGGCAGGTACAACCATAACTGGCAAACACTCTGGCGCTGGAGTGAAGCTCTCCACCTCCTAAAGTAGGGACCTCTTGATGAGCTGATGGAAAACAGGTGTTGCAGGTGAGCACAAGCCCTCAGGAAGGGATCCTTGGCGCCCTCTGGTGGGCAAGCCTCCAGATCCCAACAACTTTTGCATTTCTCGCCCCCGTAACCCTCACCACCCGGCCCCCACCTTCTCGCCGTGTGTTTCAAAGCCAGCTGAATAGAGCGGACGACAAAGACAAGAACCTGCAGAGAGTTTAGCATTTATTGCAACTCAACGTAAATGACATCAGGGGGGAACGCTATCTGACGGGCCTATAAAACCCATCAGATAGCGTTCCCCCTGCTTAGCATGGGTGGAATGCTGATGTGATGCGGTGTAAATATCATCAGGCTGCATTACCTCTACTCATGGGTGTGAAGTTTTTTAACAAGGCGTTCAGATTTGATGAGTGAATTAAATTAATAACTGGGGATGTCTAATTCTGAAATCCTGTGTGTTTGGATTGTTATGGATACTGCAAGATATGTATAGCCTTTTATAATAATTGTATTTAAAACTGCCTATAATCCTTTTGTGTCATCCTTGTTCTTTTCCAATTTGGCGCTAAAATATTTTTTCCTGCAGCTTCTTAGTATACTTGTGAGTTTATTTTTATATTTTTTTATATCTTTTTTCAGCATCTATTGTTTTCTCCTTGATAGATTAGATTAGATGAGCTTTATTGATCTCACAGCGGAGAAATTCACTCGTCACATATTGGCATAGAAGTT